AAGACTTCCAGTCTACACACAAACACACACACACACACACACACACACACACACACACATGCATGTGCGCGCGCTGACGCACACTTAAAACCGAAGTGCTTTGCAAGTTTCAGCCCGACAATACAGTCCTTGATCGATAGCATGGCAACAGGTGGTGAAATAAATTCAGCGATCATTCACAATTCCAGCCCATCAGGTCAAATAGGTTTTGGGTCGACGCATATAGCAACGAAGACAACAAGCTGCAATTACGTGTACTACATGTATGCATAAATCCCACAACACAATCAAACCATAGAGTGCTAATGAGGAGCAAATCGCATACTTACAATGACAATATGGCGTCTCTGTGGCTTTGCCGCACAAACTCAGAATGATTAAAAGACTGAACAAGAGAGAAACGTCAGGCAGCGAGAGAGGACAAGGAATGCGCTCGCTGTGTTTAGACATGAAACAAGTGGCGTATTTACAGTTGTGCTTCTAAATACGGAAGCCCACAGTTTCATTTTGCTTGGTAGGAGTGAGTTAAAGTTTGTTTCAAGGCTTATTTGTATTATTGATTTGTCCTTGAGCTTGAAAATGAAACCAGTTGTGGGGAAGATGTCCCACATAGAATGTAAAAATATACAATTTCAAGAGTAATGATGAGAAGAATGAAGCAGTGTTCAGTAGTTTCCTCTCGACTTTCGCTGAGCATGACATCCGACACTATGGAGGATTACATTGTACGTCACTAGGGCCTTCAATACATTTGTTTGTTTTTCTTTTGTTGTCATGACCAACTAAGAATGCAGACATCCACCAGGGCCGAACCAAAGAGAGCAAGATACTTCCTGGTTTAGCGAGAATGGTGAAGAGATGGGTGGTACCATTCTGATTCTGGCGAGTAGATTGTTCCACAAACAAGGGGAAATTAATTGCTGAACCTTCACCTTCAAACACCAAAATTGTAATGTTTTCTTTCTAGATTTTTTGGGGGCCAGACTAACTTGTGGCTGCTTCACCTCACAATGTCCTGAGCATCTGACAGTTCCTTGTCAATTAGACTGTTATTGTGCTGAAGCCACCTTACAACTCACTGAAATTGGCTCCGTATGATTGCACCACGCAACCAAGCCCCACCCCCTCAGTCCCAAGCTCAATGGGCTCATCATGAGGATCCGTTTTGAAGAAATGGACAACATCAAGATGGCTATGATGACAGAGCTGCGGGGGGTCCAGGAAAAGGATTCGAAAAGGGCATGAAGATTTGGCGGAAATGCTGGCTAATTGCATTCGGCTCCAAGGAGATTGTGTCAAAGGGGAAAAGTCCTAATTTGGATTTTAAAAAAATCAGTCCTGGAACATTTCCATTTCTGTCCTTCCATGTACTGATTTATTATGCCAAAATGACTACGATGGAAAATGTCACTGAAACAACAATGCGATGGTGGCCTATGATGTCTTGCAAAAGGACCGAAATGAAGACGGTCCTATCACGGGTGTTACCTTGGGTTGTAGAGGGCATGTGGGTCTCTCATGTGGTTGGCCTCGAGGGGCTCGTAGCTCTGGTGCATCCTCCAGGCGCCAGCGCCGCATTTACCGTACGTCGACTTGGAGCTGTCGTCAGTGCTGCTGTTCACTAGTGGGCCCTTCGATAAGTTCATTCTGGAAGACAGCAGTGGCCTTTTTGATTTGGGATTATTTTTTTTTTCCAAAAAGATGCCGATCTTTTTAACTGACAAGCAAGTACATCAAATCATGGCAGCCTAATCGCATAGTTACATAGTCATATTTAACTCATTGTCACTATCATTAAAAAAAATGTGTTTGCGATAAATGTTATTCTTTCCTCTTGGTAATCTTGAGAGTTAAAAAAAAAAACCTAAGGCAATTATGCTTTTATGCTAACTATTTGGTTCAGCAATAAACAACATTAAAACATTTGACAATTTCAGTATGTAAGGCATGAATTAGATGGTAACTAAACAGACAAACGGAAGTCAAATTTTATTCATGACATATTCATGCATGCATGATCTTACACAGTAACTATGCATACATGCCGAAAATATTTCATTTTGAGGAGCTAAACATGGATGTATAGTGAACAACCACACAATGACCATTTAAACATGCGGCTTTGGTGTCTAAATGTTTCAATATGTGCTCTTGTCAACCAGGCTGCCTGGTTGAGGCTGTTCTCGCTGTGAATAAGGCCATCTGACGGAGGGACTAAAAAGCAAAAAGCCCTGGAGGGCGACGCACGATGTGTGAAATCAAAGGCAGTGCAGTGTCAGGGGAGAGGTTATCGCCGGAATGATAAGGTCATTGCAGTCAATGCAATCAAAATTCTCCTTTGCTAAAAACTTAATTGATTATAACAGACGGGCCACAAAAAAAGGGACTTTTGCTGACGTGAAAGCAAATTGTGCCACTGTCATGACGCTAAATAAGGTAACTGAAATACACAAGAAAAACATGATTATTTGGGTGTGTTACAATACAGTTAGACACCACTGTTAAATACAATGATCAATATTGTTAAAATCTCATGAATCCTATTAGCTACTGTCGGTGAAGCTAATATTGTGAACTGTAACTACAGAGCAAGTAGGTGACGACCAAACCAACCCAGAAGTCACCCGTGACGCCTTTGCCCCTCCCTCCATGTAGAGAGTGAAAGGTGGAGGGTGGGGTTGTGTAATTTGTTGGTTTTAGTTCCACTCGGGTGAATAGGACCAATCGATATCTTGCTGCTCAGCACTCTTATTGGCTTTGCTTGCCGTGTCACAATGCTATATAGACAGAAAACACTTCATAGTATTTGTTTGTTTGTTTTTTTCCCACTTGATATTGTCCTGGCTGTCATCACCAACAGAGGCATTTCCACTATGATGCTAGTTTGAATCCCATTACTTCCTCTATATGGCATAGTTAACAATTTCCTTATTGAAATGTTGTTGATATATATTTGATCAGAAATTGTATTTCTTCATTCCCACACATTTTGGACAGAAAGCAGTCTGACAAAATGATGTACAGCATACAGTATCTTTTGGGTGGAGCTTTGATTTATTTTAATTCATTCCGCATTTAAAACAATCAAACCAAAAAGACACGAATTCCTCTTGTAATTTAATGTAAACATTGTTAATGGAAACTGTTACTCTGCTCATCCGATTGCAGCCTAGACTACACTGCGCATACGTGTGTGTGTGTGTGTGTGTGTGTGTGTGTGTGTGTGTGTGTGTGTGTGTGTGTTTGTGTGTGTGGCTCAGTGAGTCGCTCATGTGTTGCTGGCCCATCTGTGAATAGAATGACCATGTCAGTGTGTGTGTGTGTGTGTGTGTGTGTGTGTGTGTGTGTGTTTGTGGGTGACATGCAGATGTAGTGATTGATGAGACAGTTGCCATTCTTACTAATGCAAAAGGCACCTACCCCTGAAGGAAACAAATGCCAACTCACACACAGACTGCACCCTAATTACCCTGCTTGGCAGTGTGATGTCATCACAACACGCATCAAACAATGTAACTGCAGAAAATCCAAATTGTAGTATTTTATTCTGATTACGGCTGGCTCTCACTCTGAATATACGCTTGGTCAGATTAACTGTGAATTCCATTCATTAGAAAATGGCCAGGGGGAATGATTTAACAGCTGAATTGATCAGCTGAAACCCAGGAACAGGAACAACAGTGACCTCGTCCCACACCTCTGGTGATAACTGACAAGTTCCTATTCTGCCTTTTAAATGTCTAGAGGCCGTCAGAACATATTGCATAGCAAATTGAAATAACAGCCTCGAATGCTGTTCTGCGTGTTACGGCCGTGTGTGTGGGTGTGAGGGAGTTAATGCAAAACAGTCCCACACCTCTGGTGATAACTGACAAGTTCCTATTCTGCCTTTTAAATGTATAGAGGCCGTCGGAACATATTGCAAAGCAAATTGAAATAACAGCGTCGAATGCTGTTCTGCGTGTTATGGCCATGTGTGTGTGTGTGTGTGTGTGTGAGGGAGTTCATGCAAAAAACAAAAGCACCGCATTGAGTGGAAAACTGACGTAAAAACTTAATTGACTGCATGCACGCTATTAAGACCACATAAGATTCTCATCCAAATTGTTTTGCGTGTGTATTTTAGAGAAGGGTGTGTTTTTAGGGAGTTCATACAAACGGAAAACTGACGTAAAAACTTAATTGACTGCATGCAGGCTATTAAAACCACATAAGATTCTCGTCCAAATTGTTTTGCGTGTGTATTTTAGAGTAGATTGTGTTTTAGGGAGTTCATACAAAGTTCAGTAGTCAGAGATCAAGGGTTAGGCTTACTCGAAAAAGGCTTGTTTTTATTAATGAGTTTTATGAAAATAATATTCCTCAAATGATTTTGAAAAGAGCGCTAGAGGAACCTGTGCTTTCAGGAGTTCACTTGAAAAAAACTCCTTCATGCCAATAGTTCGGCAAGTGTACATTTGAGGGAGATCATAAAAGTTGAAAACTCTTGGGCAACACGAAAAAAAACCATTTGTATTTAAAAATGAAGTGCAAATGATGTGCCCTGACGCTTATCCCGGGAATGCAGCATTCATGCCATGTTCGCGGCGTGGACTGTTCTGAAAGTGCGTCACTGCAGTGGTTCATGCATACGCTCTTGCTAATGTTACTGGAAAATGACACTGATGCAAACAAATAAATGCTAAAAACATTTTGTACAGTTTGTAATTAAATTATTATGCAGGATAATCACAAAGCTTCACAAAACCATGGCGAAAGGTGTGTGATGTTGGTTTCGTGTCAGCATCAGGGCAGATGGGGCTCAGTGTGTGTGTGTGTGTGTGTGTGTGTGTGTGTGTTGAGTGAGCGGATGGACTTGTGTGTAGACGTTAGCGTTAGCGACGGGAGCTGTTAGCGGGGCAGGCGGCAGATGGGCTGTCGTTCTTAATAGGGACTGAGCGGGTGCCGGAAGGTGACAGCTACGCACGGGAGGGGCCCGCGGGATGGGGGGGGGGGGGGGG